TTGATTCATAGGCTTTTTCCTCCATCACCTTACTAGTGAGAACTGCAGGCACGCTTCATCTTCTTCACGATGCTTATGAGGGGCAGCACTTACCAAACAGAGCGTGCAGGGCAGGTAGACACACCCTTGTCAACATGCAAACTGGTCGCTCGCATGCGAGAAGTCGTCAAGCCCTAAGGAGGAGATCAGCTGTCTCTCGCATGAAATAAAAAGGATAGCTGGAGGACTTATTGGTATTAATAAAGGAGACGCTCGCAAATGCTGACGCGGAGGACATAATCATCTGTTATTTTCTGGTTTATGTAGCCCATATTTGATCCAAACAATCCAACAGCACAAATTGGAAGTTGGAATAAAAGGACTTGATCTACTACCTAAATACATCATCTATCCATTTTCTATATCTCATTAGGATCAGCTGGAGCCGATCCGAGCTGAATCAGGGTAGGAGGCGATGTACACCCGAATAGGGTTGAAATGGGTCCTCCAGGAATTTGGGTACCTCGGTTAAAAATGCTTGAGGCAGTTTTTTTCTGTCTCCAGTACCTGCTTATTTATGTGTACAATGTCAGAAAGAGGAAGCCAAGCTAACTGCAGCAAGAAATACGTTGGAAAGCAATCATGTGTTGCCTATTTTGTGACATGTTGCAGATCAAATCAGTAACAACATCATAATAAGTTTGTGTGTGCATTTCTCTGCAGTGTTAATTTGAAAGAATCCCCTGAAATCATCCATCCATCCATCCATCAATTTTCCAATCCGCTTATCCTCACAAGTGTAGCATGGGGGTGCTGGAGCCTATCCCAGCTGTCTTCGGGCTGCAGGCTGGGGGACACCCTGAACCGGTTGCCAGCCAATCGCAGGGCACACACAGACGAACAACCATCCACGCTCACACTCACACCTAGGGACAATTTAGAGTGTTCAATCAGCCTGCCACGCATGTTTTTTTTGGAATGTGGGAGGAAACTGGAGTACCCGGAGAAAACCCACGCAGGCACAGGGAGAAAATGCAAACTCCACACAGGGAGGCCGGAGCTGGAATTGAACCCGGTACCTCTGCACTGTGAGGTCGATGCGCTAACCACTGGTCCACAGTCTTTGAGCTAATTTTTAACTTTGACTTGGAATTTTTGATTGTTTGGACTTGAATCGATGAGGTTACCGCTTCATCTCACAATTAACAAACAAAATTAAAGTTGAATAAATGTAAAAATGTAGTTGGACTAGCGTTACTATGGCTGTAATAGCCCCACCATTTATCTGTTCATTATCTATACCACCAATTCAGCAACAATAACAATGAAACTCCCATTTGAGGATTAAAATAAGGCAATGGTTTTAGCACGTCTTCCTTGCAGTTTTGTGAACTGTGCATCAAGCCATTCAGTGAATAAAGTTTTCAGTCTCCACACTGTACACAATACAATTCAAGTGCTACTTTTGACACGGATGTGAACGCAATTGTTGATGTAAAAAAAAAAATGACTTGCCGGTAAATCGGTTACCAAGTAGTACATTCATTAGTCAAGCAGCTGATCTTTTCACGAGTCACAATCTGGCAACGGAATGACTGTGAAAAACGAAAACAGGTTTCTCCGACAGCTTGTGGACAGAGAGGCGCACCTTTTATCACGTGAAAGCTTTGCTATGTGTGTTGAGGAGAGTGTGTGTATGTAAACAAACATTCTGCGCTGTGTGTGTGTGTGTGTGTGTGTGTGTGTGAGTGAGAGAGAGAGAGAGAGAGAGAGAGAGAGAGAGAGAGAGAGAGAGAGAGAGAGGGGCTGTGCCACCCTTTGCATAAGCCTGCAGATAAGAGTGAGAGCGAGAAGCCAGCCTCCACCTGCCTCCCAGTACTTGCTAAGTGTGTACACTCCAAATATTTCCATAGCCGGCTCACACGCGGAAATGAAGGAGGAAGCGGTCCGTGGTGTACAGTATGAGGTGGGGAGGGATGAGGAGAAAAGCTAGTAGTACATCATGCAAACACGCAACATGAGACTCCTCATTATTGTGGTTGTAGTTTGCTGTGGGGTACTGTACTGTGTCAGCAATATTTTGGAAATCACAAAAACAACCTTCGATTTGTTGTTTTTTTCATTTCGTAACCCTTGTGCTGCAATTTCTACGATGTTTGTAACACATGGGTTACCCCATATGTTACAATTTCTACAATTTTTGTACATTTTTGCGTATTGTCATCTTTAAATCAAAGACACAGCATAAAAAGTGTGTGATATGAAATATTCCAATTCATGTTTTATTTATATAGATTTATATTTATGTTTTGGTCATAGCACAATACCGCTTTTATTGTCCATAGAGGGCAAAAATACAAAGAAAAAAATAAGAACTATATGTGTATGTATAGCACTGATGCCACTGAACATGTCGAGTGGTTGAAAGTGAAATAAATATTCAGGAATAATACTTTTACAATTTTTGTAAAATTGTATTTTGCGTTATATAAACTTATTTAGATCGACTGCAGCACATGGGTTTTTAAAGAAATACAGTATTGCCTTGAAATCATTTTTATTTCATCCAGAACAGGCTTCAAGCAGTTTATTGCCACTGCCAGTTGATATTTACTGTCAAATTGAGTGAAATTGAGAAACATAATTTTGCCCAAGGAAAGTCCATTTATCTTAATGCTAACAAACAATGAAAAACACCATTGATTGGCTAATGAATAGCATCGGTGTCGAAGTGTCCTCACCTTTTAGCATTTCATCATTTTCATTCAGCTCAATGGGGAGGCTGATTTGAGATACACATATTTTGTTTTACAAATGCTATATTTTTTTAAGCTTTTCAGAATAAAAAAAATGTTATTATATTTTCATTGTTCAGTACCAGATCATTTTATGAATTTATTTTTAATGTATTTATTCATGTCTGTATTTTTAATATGTACTAACTTGTAGACATGTCAATCAAAAGTAAAAAAAATAGTTTTAAAATTATTTTATTTTGATTTTTATGCTTTTAAAAAATATTTTATTTATTTATTTAACTCCACCAGTTTTTTAAAATCAGAGATAGAAGTTAACTTTTCAAGATGATTTTTTTTGCGCTGATTGCGACTGCTGTTGTTTTCTCTTTTTTGAGATCAAAAAATCAGATTTTAATAATAATAACAATAAAATAAAATGTATATTATTATATATATTACATATTTAGTAATACTTAATTAAGTGTTAGGTTTAGAAACAGGTGGATTTTTTTTCTGAAACGTCATAGCTTTAAATTACAACATACGGTGAAATCTGTATTGCACAAGATTTTATAGGTCAAACTTAAAAACAAACAAAAAAAATCTCAAAAACCTGATGTACTTGGAAGAAAAAGTAAAGGCAATTTTGAAATTAGCATAAAAAAATATGTTAAAGCACACATAAAGCCATCTATGATTAATTTAAAACAATGTTGACCAATGTTGTTATCATTGCAAAAGCAGAATTTTGTTATTTGTGTCATATATTAAGTGTCCTGTGCGTTCCTCCTTCTCACCTTCAGTTCTCATTCTGGAGCCGGTGGAGCATGATGACCTGAGTGGGAAGACCCTGAAGATCACTGACTTCGGCCTGGCGCGAGAATGGCACCAGACCACCAAGATGAGCGCAGCGGGCACATATGCCTGGATGGCACCTGAGGTCATCAAGCTGTCCCTCTTCTCCAAAAGCAGCGACGTGTGGAGGTGGGTGCTGCACTCCGCTTTCTCTTTGTGCGTCACATTTAAGCTTTATGCTGTGTCTGTTGTCAACAGTTTTGGTGTGCTGCTGTGGGAGCTGCTCACCGGCGAGGTTCCCTACAGAGAAATAGATGCCCTGGCCGTGGCTTACGGCGTGGCCATGAACAAGCTAACACTTCCCGTCCCGTCAACATGCCCTGAACCTTTTGCTCAGCTCCTAGTAGGTAAGCTGGACTACATCACTACTGCATAAATAGCAGTATTGCTGATTTGATGGATGAACTATGCAGCAAATATACAACAATATTAGATGGATGGATGGACGAAATAGGTAGATGATCGATAGATGCACAGATGAATGGAGACTGGATAAGGAAGATAATGCATGGATGGATGGATGTAGATAATGGATAAATGGATGGATGGATGGATAGATACATATGGATAATTGATATGGACAATCCGGATGAATATGGATGATGAATAGAGAAACTTTAGATGATGGATGCATGGTAGTTAGATGGCGGATCAATAGATGCAAAGATAGATGGATACTTGGATAGATAATGGAGAGATGATGGAACAATAATGGATGGAAGATGGATTGATATGGATGATACACATGGATTATAGATGTGGATGGATGATGGATGAATGGCTAGAAATGGATGGAGATGGATGGATACATACAATATGGATGGATAGACAGTAGTAGTGTGATAGAATGATGAGGGATAGATAGATGCATGATGGATGGGTGGGAGAGATGGATGATGTGTGTCTCTCTCTGTATATGTATAAAAAATATAAGTATATACTGTAAGTATTCAATATTTGTATTCAATACAGTGGTGTCATTCACTTTTTACAACCAATTCAATATTCGAAAGTCAATATTGCTGCTCTAGAGCCAAAAGCAAGTCCAGTATATACACTCATCTTGACAAAATATTGACTGTGAAATTGTATATTTGCTGGTTTTCCTCCAACAGACTGTATTGATCATCTCACCGTCGCTGCATGGTGACACAATTGTGGTACTTGGTGATTCGTAACTCACCCTGAGTCAAGACAAAGCCCCTTCAGTACCTAAATGATCCCTTCCAAGCCACATTTCACACTGCATGCCTCATAAAAAGAGTCTTTCTCTCAGAGCGACAATCTACCAAATCTTTTTTCTCCTCATCTTCGTCCTCTCATCTGGGTTCATCATTTAATGATGCTTTTGTCAAGTCCTTGTTTCTCCAGTCTCGCTTTCTTGTACTCATGTCTGTGTGGATCAACCGATAAATGAAGACGTCCACTCCATGAAGGAGTTCAGTGGGTCAGCATGACTTCAGTGAGGCGTTGGACAGATATCAGCAGATATGTGAAGGTGTGATGACAGTCGTGTCGTGCACGGTTCTGTCGGCTGAACTTGGCTCAGCATGGCCACCATATGTCCACTCTCTCTCACTTCCCCTCATTCCTGGAAAATACACTACATCACACCATCAGTGTCTGTTTTTTTACTTCCACAGATACTCACCAGTCGGATTGAACAATTTTGAACACTAATCCATTATACTCAATATTGCGATTCATTATTTTGTATGTATCAATCTGGCAGAATTCATTGCTCTGTTTATCACAGCAAGTCATCCAGGTCCCAAAGGAGCAAAGCAACCCCACAGATCTTGTAGTCTACTTCACTTTGTCTGACAGCTACTTAAGTGTTTTTTTTCCCTGACTTATCTGGTGCTGATCAGACTTGGGTGTGGCCAGTTGTCCAAGAACTGTTTTTAATCACTTTGTTTCTGAGATATTACAGTTGGATCGATGATGAGGACAACCATACCAAAACAAGTTTAACACCTCTGACATGAGCTAATGCAGCTGTCCGTTTGTGTTGTCCCCCAGAGTGCTGGAGCCCGATCCCCCACAGCAGGCCCTCCTTTACCAGCATCCACCGGCGGCTGCTGGCTATCGAGCAGTCGGCCATGTTCCAGATGCCCCTGGAGTCCTTCCACTCCTTGCAGGAAGACTGGAGGCTGGAGATCCAGCAGATGTTTGACGAGCTGCGGGCCAAAGAGAAGGTGCAAACCCCCCAAATCTCACCTTGGCAGTACAGTACATGCCTGGGGGAGGGGTGTTTCTAAAATTGTGAATCACCTCAGCAACAATCAGCAGGCGGATGTGTCGAAAGAGGCGTTAATGAAAGTGACAAAAAAAAAATGTCTCTCATGTCTCTCTCCCCAGGAGTTGAGGTCTTGGGAGGAGGCACTCGCCCGGGCGGCTGAGGAGCAGCGAGAGCAGGAAGAGCAGCTGAGGAGGCGAGAGCAGGAGCTGGCCGAGCGCGAGATCGACATCGTGGAGCGCGAGCTTAACATCATCATCCACCAGGTGTACCAGGAGAAGCCCAGAGTGAAGAAGAGGAAGGGACACTTCAAGAAGAGCAGACTGCTCAAGCTGTGCAGGGACGGCAACAGCATCAGCCTGCCCTCTGGTGGGTGCCACCATTTATTATACCCCGGCAGACAGCAATGTTTTGTGTTTTATGGGAATGATGTAAAGCTGCATCATTTAAAATTTATTTTTCAATCAAAATCAATTACGTCAAGAAAATCTCTCATGTTTTATCATTTAATGGCAACAGTTACGTAATTACATTCAATTGTTTTTTCTTATATTTTATTTTAACCTTAATATTTGTAATTTATTTTATTATACCGGTGCTAAGATATAAAACTGCATCTTTTCTAAAATTAATTTAAATGAAATTAAATGACATAAACATGCAAAGCTAAATTCAATTACTTCATAGAAACATAAATGTAATTGTACTGGATTACAGCTTTCATCTCCCACTGTTGAAGTGTGAATGGGTGTGGTTTACTCGATGTCCGCTGGGATAGGCTCGAGCTCCCTGAGACTTTGATGAGGAGGAATGCTACAGAAAATGGCTGGATATATGAATTTCATTTTTGTTCATTGCAACCTTCTATTTTATTTCATCTTTTAGCTAATATATGATACCGGTCTATACTGTATACAATTCTATTCACCATCTGTCACTGCAACACAACAAATGTCCTCAGAGAGAAAAAACATATATCGTACTTTCTTTCTGAAAAGTGCATCGTAACATTTTTCTTCCTGTGCTCAAAGGCTTCGAGCACAAGATCACGGTGCAGGCGTCCCCCAGCGTGGACAAGAGGAAGGCACAGGGCAGTGAAAGCACCACGCCGCCCGCCAGCCCAGGCGTCATTCCTCGCCTTCGAGCCATACGATGTGAGAAACGAAACTATCCTGTATCCACTTCTTGCATGTCATAGAGCAGTGATTCTCAAACTATCTACAACCACACTTCAAAAAAAATACTCCCCAACTAATTATAGTATAAATACTGCGGTGAGTTATAATAATGCAACCTCCCCCCCCCCAAAAAAAAAAGTTTTGTTCCTATACTCAAAAAACAGTTGGGTCGAATATACTGTAACTCAATTTTTGTCAAAAATTGACCCTCAAAGGTCAATTTGACGCGACTGTCTGGGTTGTTCTGCGTAAAACCACCAAAAATTTGTGCAAAACATCTCATAAAGTAGTGCGTTTTAGACTTTTTTTTAACCCAAATTGGGTTCTTTTTTTTTTTTACCTTGTGTAAACAGTATATGTAGAATTTTTGTAAGCCACTGTAATGTCATGCACAGTTTACCTACAAATATATATTGCACTTAAAAGTTAAGTATAACTGAAGTGTGTCTGGACTCTAAAAACATTTTGGGGAAAGAAAAATAATCAAATTTGGGTAACAGGGGACTGACCTACAACTCGGGTCAATTTGATTCAACTTTGTGTGATGGAGACAGTGACCCCGAGTGACAGCAGCAAGACATGGGGCCGCAGTGCGGTGTGCAAGAAGGAAGACATGTCGGCTGGCAAGAAGAAAGGACGCACGTGGGGACCCAGCTCGACCCAACAGAGGGAGCGGGTCGGGGGAGAGGAGAAGTAGGTGGACTCAAGTATTTGGATACACTGGATGTGAGAATAAAAGAACACTTTTATTTTTCGCGGTGGACCGGTGGTCCAGTGGTTAGCTCATCGACCTCACAGTGCAGAGGTTGTAGGTTTGATCCCGGCTCCGGCCTTCCTGTGTGGAGTTTGCAGGTTCCCCCGGGGCCTGCGTGGGTTTTTCTCCTGGTACTCCGGTTTCCTCCGACATTCCAAAAACATCCATGACAGGCTGATTGAATTATGTATATGATATTTAAACAATATTTTTGCTATATTTCCAATTTATGTACAGTATTTTTTTTAATTTACCAGTTTATTGCCCAACTATGATCATTTCCAGAACACTGAAAAAGTGTAAAAGTCTCTCACTGTTTGTATATTGAGATCAAATTGAAATGAATGTACTTGTTTTTCAAATTTTTTTTTTTTCATTCTCTTCAGACTGAAATCACTAAGCGAGGGCTGCAAAGTGTGGTCATCCAGTGCTCCAAACCTGGGAAAATCCCCCAAGCACGCACCAATGACAGTGGGCTTCTCCAGCCTCAGTGAGATGGGTGAGTCGCTTATTTGATTTTAAACCAAGGTGCCCTCTCTCACATCCTCCATTTTGCCACTCAGAGGAGTGCTGCGAGTTGGAAGAATCGCCGGGTTCCCTGCAGCCCTCCGAGACGAGTAGCAACGGTGCGGCCGATGACTCGGGGTCTCTGTGGAGCGCCCCGGGTTCCGGCACAGCCACTGCCAATGTGGGCTCGTCCGGCGCCAGCTCCACTCAGGGTTGCGTGGGAACGGCGGCCACGCTGAGCCACCATGACTCACTAAGACGCTGCGGCCAGAGGAAGAAGAGTGACATGCTGCTGTTGGGTTGTGCTTCGCTGCTTGCCTCGGTGGGTCTGGGCCAAGACCTGTTGCAGCTGGGCAGACTGCAGGTAAGGAATATACATGCATACATTGAGTCGATATGAAAAGTCTTCACACCGCTGTTGATTTTTTTTTTTTTAACAAAAAAAATTTGAGTCGCTGATGCTGTAGTGGTGCACTCGCCTGACTTGTGTGCGGGCAGCGTGGGATCGGTTCCCACTCAGTGACGGTGTGGATGTGGGTTTGAATGGTCGTTTGCCTCCATGTGTGCCCTGCGACTGGCTGGCAACCAGTTCAGGGTGTAGTCTGCCTTCCGCCTGTTGTTTATACAAAAATATGCTGTTTAAAAACGAAACAGTTATAGATTAACAGCAAATGTATCAAACTTAAACGTTAAATACAACTGAACTGTACTTGGGCTGTGATTTGCATACCACATGTGGTCATGAAGGAAATAAAAATAGTAATAATGATAGGAATATTAATAACAGTCTGGGTCATTACAAAAAACAAATTTCGGTAAGGGCGGCCCGGTGGTCCAGTAGTTAGCGCGTCGACCACACAGTGCAGAGGTTCAATTCGAGCTCCGTCCTCCCTGTGTGGAGTTTGCATGTTCTCCCCGGGCCTGCGTGGGTTTTCTCCGGGTACTCTGGTTTCCTCCCTCTGGTTTCCTTTCCAAAAACATGCAAGGCAGGCTGATTGAACACTCAAAATTGTCCTGAGGTGTGAGGGTGAGCGTCAATGGTTGTTGGTCTGTGCGTGCCCTGCGATTGGCTGGCAACCGGTTCAGGGTGTCCCCCGCCTACTGCCCTAAGATGGCTCGGATAGGCTCCAGCACCCCCCGCAACCCTTGTGAGGATAAAGCGGATCGGAAAATGGATGAATGGAAATTTCTGTCATTTCTGATTGCATTGTATGCGGGTATGCGGTTGTACAGGTGCAGTATGGAGGGATGACTGTTTTGAAAGTGATGTTGCCATGTCGTGGTTGTCCTCGTCAGGTACTTCAGGACGAGCAGGACACAAGAGAGGAGCAGAGGAAGAAGAAGGAAAGTCTTTTCCAGCGCACCGGACGTTTCCGTCGCAGCACATCGCCCCCCAGCAGAAACCTTTCTTTGTCACTCTCCCGCCATCACGATTCCTCGCTGCCCTCCCTGGACCCTTCCCCATCCATCACGCTGCTCTCCTTGTCCTCGCTGTCTGACTGTAATTCCACCAAGTCCCTCCTCCCCTCCGACCCGGACGACTACCCCTTGATGCCAGGCAAAATGCAGGCCCCGCCCCCGGCGGGCTCCTCCCTCAACCCGCTGCTGGACTTGCGGACAGAGAGTTTCAAGAAGGAGCCCAACCAGTCTCTCACACCCACCCACGTGTCTGCCACCATGGCGGTCAACAGGGGGCACAGACGCACCCCATCCGACGGCGCCATACGACCCCGGGCGCAGACTCTTGTCCACCGCAGGACGCCGTCTGACGGAAGCGTGCCAATGCCCCCTCCGACAGGGGGACCTGTCATCAGAGCAAACAAAGGTGAGGTGCAAAGTTTAAGATTTTTTTTTTATTTCACTGAATAAATCCTGTGGGACATCTTGCTTTGTCTTAAGGCAATGTGAGAATGGGATCTTAAAGAAAGAGACAGGAACAAAGTCTGCTTTCATATTCTTGCTCGAAAACAAAAGATTACATGAGGTGATGATTGACATGGAATACATTTTGCAAGTGTAAATAAATGTTTTTTCGAACAAATACCATATGGCTTAATGACTATGAGGGATGAGCGCGTACCAATACAGGTATGCTCTGTCAGGCGAATATTTTAAGGTATCGGGTGTCGTTTATGCCGATGATACCAGCCACCGATACTTCAAGAAAAGAAAATTGAACGAGTAAGTCCTCCTCGCCAGTAGCTGACTCAACACTGCAGCATTTTGACAATGGTGAATAGTCATCTGCGTCATTGTGTTAAATGAAATTTTATCTAATTTACTAGAGGTATTAGTACTCGGCATCGTGATTACTAAAAGAGTAAATACAGTACTGGTATTGGTCTGAAAAAAAGTAGAATCGAACAGCCCAAATGATAATAAAAAATATGTTATGATAATGATGGTGTATATTAATGAAAATCCCAGACAGGGACAAGCAGTGAAGAGAATTACATTGCATTGCAAAGCCCGAAATACCGTATTGGCCCGAATATACGACGGCCATGATTATAAGATGACCCCCTCTTTTTCAAGACTCAAGTTTGAAAAAAGACTTTTTGAACACCAAGTTAATTTTTATACAGAAAATAATTACAGTACATCTGAAACAAATGATAAAACAATATATTTGAGAGAAAAAGCATGTTATTTTGCCTCATTCAAATCTTAATATCTGAACATTTAAATATGTAAACTAAAGTGCAATCACATTCATAAATGAATGGCTTCTGGTTTTTGAAATGTAAATTACATCATGACTTCAGCTGCCGGTTAACCTGGCCGATCTTTGACCCACTTTTCTCCAGATTGTCACTACGTTTCTCCATTTTCTGTTATCTCTTCTATTATTTTCTTCTCTTTTCCTTCTTCCTGCTATTTTTTATTTTTCTTCTTCGTGCTACCGCTATTTTTATTTTTATTCTTCGTGGCAGGGGTTCACTTTGGCCTGGGGAGTCAAGTTCAGAATTCACTTCGATGATATCTGGCTCCATCTAGCGTCGTGAATGGGTATAATGTCTAGACCCCGAATATAAGACGACACCCACTTTTTCAGTCTTATTTCAATGCAAAAAACACCCTCTTAAATTCGGGCCAATACGGTATACAATAGGACATTGAATGGTAATGTTATTCGAAAAAAAATGATGAGCATAAAATTGTAATTTTAGGAAAACGAAGTTGACCTGCTGTGCATGACTTGCAGTGCCTGCTTTGATTTGTGACGGTGCAGGTGTGCTGGATACCCTGGACATCCCTCGCTTGCCAGACCCCTCGGCCCTCTTCTCTCTCCCCCAACGTCGAAAGGCCCCCGCACCCCCCGTTCCCGCTCCGGCCCCCCTCTGCCTCATTAGCCCCCTGGAGCGACCCAAGACACTGGAGTTCGCTGCCCGTCCCCGGCCAGCTCCGGCCCGGGCGCACACCGACCAATGGAAGCCGGGCTCTCTATCCGGGACCCTGAACTCCTCATCGGGTAGCGGCTGCAATGGCCCGCCGGGATCGAGGGACGGCGGGAGCGGTGCCGCGCGGCCCAACCTGATGGACATGGATGTGGAGGGGCAGAGTTTGGACCACACGGTACCTCTGTGCGGGAAGATGCAGCCCGCCGCCCTCTGCGGGCAACAGTACACATAGCGACGGTCAGCACGCATTTTTTGTACCAAAAATGAGCGATGATCACACTTACTGGAAGCCATCCCTTCTACTAAGGTGTGAAGACAACCCTTCATTCTCCCGACTAACTTAACTACCAGTTAAACGCCTCAAAAAGCCATTCTGAAAACAAGTCAACTCACACTGCATCTGCTTGCATCATTCCCACAGAAAACGCAACACTGAATTGTTCCTTTTCTTCATCCATGTGGCGTCTCTTTCCACATTCGCCTTCTGTGTGTTGTGCACCACCGACCGAAGGACTTGTTGCATCATAAAGCAAAAGTTCCCCCCATCATGTCATGCAAGGGTGTGAAAAGGCGCTTCGTGAAATGTTCACCATGACTACTGGAAGGACACAACGGTCAACCACATTGAGCCACTGAGACCGAGAGTGGGCTGACTCCATTTTGGTCATTTTGCAGCAGAGTGATTTCAAATCTATCAAATCTGAAGGATTTATTTGTTGGACCTTTCCAGTGCAATGATTACCAATGATTATCACTCTCATTTGAATTCCTAATTCTGTTTTAATTTATAACACAGAATTTAAAACCCTGACATTTGCGTCAAACTCTGCCTTGAACCCCACATTTTAAACCCTTTAGCCCATTTTAAAACCCTCAATTTGATTTTTTTTTCCCCAACATACCTTCACCCTAGTTTAAAACCCGAACCCAAATTTGAAACCATAATTTTGCCTTGATACCTCAGGGCCAGTTTGCAACCCTTGTCAATGTGCATGCTAAAAATTGTGCTTTTCTTGTTTTCCCCAAAACATTTCAAGATATAATATGGCAAGTTTGCTATTAGGCAAATGATGTGAGGAAAGAAAATGCTCATTGTAGTATTACAAGAAAGAAGAAGTCATAATATTAAGAGAAAAAAATGGAGCATTTTACAGGAATCAAGTTAGAATGTTATGGGGGAGAAAATCCAAAATCTACAAGAAAAATATCTAAATATAATTAGAGAACTGTTTTAATCATGTGCAAAATGTAATAAAAATAGTCTAGACTAATTTTCCTCTTTATTTTTTTTCAAAAACCCACTTCTTAAATTAACTTCGACTTCAGCTTGTAATTTTGGGCCTTTTTGACCCTCTACGGCCACCGCCCTCGTCCTTTTTCTCAAAATAGGTGGTGAAAGTCTCGGGCTGAATCTTTTCTTCTGCGCATTGCTTCACCAGACAGCATGGATTCATCATGACCTTTTGAGACAAATGCAACATACAACTTCAACCTCACGAAACCTCTCCGAGCACCTCAACCCGCATCCCACTCTCTTTGATATCCCCCCCACCTCAGTCCCATTTCACTCCCAGTGGCACTTTCGGAGCCTTGTTGGTGGGCCACTTGCAGCTGACAAATCACTTTGGACTTGTTGCACTACTGCGCAAATAAAGGGATTGAGTGTGTTTGAGTGTGTGCGTGTTGTATGGGACAACCTTCTTGTGCTCATGGGTATTTATTAAGATTAAATTGTTCTTATCTGGTATAATTATTGTTCCAGTGCTTTTTTTTTTCTTCCCGTGTACATATTTGTTAATACGGGCGTGAAAATGAGAACAAAAATTGTCATGTAATGAACACTTGGTTGCAAGATGAATAAAAAGGAAGAAAGATGCTTCAGTGTCATTCATAAATGTTCTACTTTATAATGCGGACAGCTGCAAGAATATTTCCTGTTCTTTCATAATGTGTAGTACCACAAAGAGATGTCAAGGTGGCGCCAGTGTGTGCTATGAGGTCATGTTTTCAATGTTATCAGGGGAAAAAGCGCTTCGGGTACTTTGTATACAGTCTAGTGGAGCAGTGCCATTCACCATAGTTAAAATGTTAAACACTTAGCCCATTTCAAAAACCTCAATTTGTTTTTGTTTTTTGTTTTTTAATACCCTTAACCCGAGTTTAAACCCCAAACTCAAATTTAAAACCCTAATTTTGCCTTGATAGCTCAGGGCCAGTTTGAAACTCTTGTCTTAAAACATTAACTTGAAACATAACACAAGCTTGAAATTAAAGCCCCAACCCTACCTCAAAACCTTAATTTGAAACCATGACAAAGGCTAGAAACCTTGTTTTGTAACCTCTAATTTGAAACCCTTACTTAGAACCCTAACCTTGTATACAAATTTGAATCCGAACTGAGATTACGTTCTATCGTTTCCCACGTGTTGCCACCGCCAATCAAACGTCCTTCTAGACTCTGACCAGTTGCCTAGCAACCTGCTCACTGCCATGGTGACCCTAATAAAAGAAAATACAAAGAAAAGGATGGGGGACAAAAAAAGAAGGATAATCACGCCTGGAAATGGAAAAGAGGAGAAAAGAAAAAGACCATCACACACACACGCGCACACACACACACACACACACACACACACACACACACACACACATACACTCGCATGCACACGCAAAGAAGCAGGTGAGCACAGTTATTGAGGATGTGACACACTCACAAAAGAAGAAACCCTAAGGGGTCTTGAAAACCAACCCAAAACCAGTCTTAACACTTCCTTTTGGAACCCTAACCAGAGTTCACAACCCTAACACAGGTTTGAAACCCTACTCTTTGCTTTAAATCTGAACTCTTGACCTTAAAAACCTGACCTTAAACCCAAACCTAGGCTTTAGAGTTTAACAACCCTAACCACACCCTAACCCCGACCCTAAGCCCAATTCCAACCCTAACTCCAACCCTAAAGCCAACCCTAACCCGGACCCTAACCATAACCAGAACCCCAACGCCAACTCAAACCCCTGACCCTTAGGCCCCAACCCCAACACCGAAGCCTCACCCAAACCTTACCCGAACCCGAACCCCAAACCCCAACCTGATCCTCAAACCTTAACCCGAAGCCCTAACACTATAACCTCTACCCCCTAACCGTAACTCCAAGCCCCAAACCCCAAACCTAACCTCAACACAGACCTTATCCTGACCCAAATCCCAAGTCCTAACCAGAATCTCGCATCCTAACCGTAACGTCAAGCCCCTAACCCACACCTTCTGATACATGGTCCTTTTTTGCCCCCCAAAAACGACCATGTATCAGAAGGCGTTTTTTGCCCCCCAAAAATGACCATGTATAAATAGTAAGGCATTTGCCGAAAAAAAACGACCATGTATAGTGAGGCATTTTTTAACTCCAAAAAAAACGACTATGTCCAGTAAGGCGTTTTTAGCCGAAAAAAACGACCATGTACAGTAAGGCATTTAACCCGAAAAAAATGACCATGTATAGTCAGGCGTTTTTAGCCGAAAAAAACGACCATGTATAGTAAGGCGTTTTAACCCGAAAAAAACGACCATGTATAGTAAGGCGTTTTAACCCTAAAAAACGACCATGTATAGTAAGGCGTTTTTGGACGAAAAAAACGACCATGTATAGTAAAGCGTTTTAACCCGAAAAAAATGAACATGTATGAAGGCATTTTAATCCGAAAATAACGACCACGTATAGTAAGGCATTTTTAACCCGAAAAAAATGACCATGTATAGTCAGGCGTTTTTAGCCGAAAAAAATGACCATGTATAGTAAGGCGTTTTTAGCCGAAAAAAACGACCATGTATATATAGTAAGGCATTTTTAGCCGAAAAAAACGACCATATATAGTAAGGTGTTTTTACCCGAAAAAAACGAACATGTATAGTAAGGCATTTTAACCCGAAAAAAATGACCATGTGTAGTAAGGTTTTTTTACCCGAAAAAAATGACCATGTATAGTAAGGTGTTTTAACCTGAAAAAAGCGACCATGTATCATAAGGCATTTTGAACCGAAAAAAACAACCATGTATAGTCAGGCGTTTTTAGCCGAAAAAAATGACCATGTATAGTAAGGCGTTTTTAGCCGAAAAAAACGAGCATATATAGTAAGGCGTTTTTAGCCGAAAAAAACGACCATGTATAGTAAGGTGCTTTTACCCGAAAAAAACGACCATGTATAGTAAGGCATTTTTAACCCGAAACAAATGACCATGTGTAAAGGTATTTTAACCCAAAGAAACGACCATGTATAGTAAGGTGTTTTAACCTGAAAAAAACGGCCATGTATCGTAAGGCATTTTGAACAGAAAAAAACAACCATGTATAGTGAGGAATTTTTGGCTGAAAAAAACCCGACCATGTATAGTAAGGTGTTTTTGCCGAAGAAAATGACCATATACAGTCAGGCCTTGTTCGCTGCCAAAAAACGACCATGTATAGTCAGGCGTTTTTAGCCGAAAAAAACGACCATATATAGTAAGACGTTTTTAGCCCCGCAAAAAAACAACCATGTATAGTGAGGAATTTTTGGCTGAAAAAAACCCGACCATGTATAGTAAGGTGTTTTTGCCGAAGAAAATGACCATATACAGTCAGGCCTTGTTCGCTGCCAAAAAACGACCATGTATAGTAAGGCATTTTTTAACTCCAAAAAAATGAACATGTAGAGTATAGTAAGGCGTTTTTGGAGGAAAAAAAAATACCATGTACAGTAAAGTGTTTTTTGATGAATGTATACTGGGGTGTTTTTGTCAGAAAAAACGACTATGTATTGTAAGGCATTTTTTAACTCCAAAAAAACCGACCAATGGCGACCATGAATCGTCAGACATTTTGAGCCAAAAAAACCCAACCATGTATTGTAAGGTGTTTTGTGAATTTTTCCTTAGTGTGAGCGTGAGCGGGAACAACAGGATCAGCAAATGGATGGCTTCGCATGTTTTTGAGATGGAATTGAACCCTGGGCCTCTGTCGTGTGAAGCTGATGCACTAACCATCCCAACCGACTACCAGGTAGTTTATGAACACTCTCCAATGTAGAGTCGACATTGTCCCCATACAAGACTTTTTTTTTTTTTCTATAAAACGAACCCATAAATCAGAAGGCTTTTTTTTCGGGACCTCTAACAAGGTTAAGAACCACTGCCCAAACCCAACCCTCACCCTGGTTTAAAACCTTTAATCGTCATTTGAAACCCTCCTTTAAACCACTGTGTTTCTTTTCATTGTTGGTTTTTGCTGCCTTTCTCAGCAACAAAACAGCAAGAAACACTCTGCTGAGCGTGCGCCCAGCACTGCGCAAACATCTCTATTCGACACAAACGTTTTTTTCTTCAAATCAATAGGAAAGCTTTTGTGGCCACGGAAGGCGCTTGATCGCCAAGCCTTTCAAACAACCGCGTTGACGTCAGCGTTGTTATGTCATGTTTGGCTGCCAAGAGAACTGCGGGCGGGGGGCCGCACACAACCGTTGTAGTTATTTTTGTGTGTTAGGAAATGATACTGGACATGTCAAATTTGTGATTTTAAAAATAGTTGTATTTGAAATATTCTTTCTTCATAAATTAAGAAAATGCAGCAATGATTCCAAAAGACATTGAATTGTTTATTTTTGGATTTTCCGATCATCCAAATGTTATGAAGACAAGAGTCATCAACTCCTCAAGAATTTAGTGACCAATATTTTGGAGAAATATATGTTTCTTTTTGGTTTCTTCCTCGTGCGGTTCTGATTGAAATTTTAGCTCGCTTACCTTGTTTTGTTTGAATTTTAGGTCAGTTTACAGGCCAGCAAAGATTCAAATTCGTGGATGTTTTGTCACCCGATTTATTTGAACACAAACCCAACATGACTCGTCTTTGTTTGTAACTTTATTCTTGTCACCGGTGCATTCTGCGGGAAGTGGGAAAGGGACAAAGCAAGCCTCGGCTTGCTCCATCCTCCAGAGACTCAAACAGCGTCATCTGCTTCAAGTCAAAGCCAAGAGGATGGATGAACATCCAAGCACCAAGCTCCTTCGCACAGACCTGTTTCTACACACGACACTCTCCTGCAAAATTACAAAAATAGAGTTCGGCCCACTTAAGTTCTCAGGGCCTCATATTGAGTTAGGTTTTAAATAAAAAGGTTACAGGAGAATGTCCCAGGACACTTTAGGGGAAAAAAATCAAAACAAACTTCATAGAGGGAGAGAGAGAAAGTCAAGTCGAGCAAGACATATAATTCACTTATCCTCACGAGGGTCGCTGGCATTCCGGAGCCTATCTCAGCTATCTTCGGGGAGCAGGCGGGGGCTACGCCCTGAATTAGTTCCCAGCCAATTGCAGGGCACAAATAGACGAACAACCATTCGCGCTCACAATCACACCGAGGGACAATTTAGTGTCCCATTGACGTGCCACGCATGTTTTTTGGAATGTAGGAGGAAACCAGAGTACCCGGAGAAAACCCACGCAGGAAGGCCCTGCACCTCTGCACTGTGAAGCCGGCGTGCTAACCAGTCGCCCACCATGCCGCGTTAACATGGATGTCCTGTCCTTGGCCAGCCTGCAACTCAACACCCTGGAATTTAGTAAGGCAGGTGTCTGGATTTGAACTCAGGTTTTTGAAGAATTCCACGTGGTATCATTGACCACCAGGCCACAGGAGGAGCGAGAAGTTCCTGGTTTTGAATCCAGGTCCTTAAGAACTCCAAGCCACATTATTGACCACCAAGGCACTGTAGAAGGCTCAAACTAATCTGTGTGCTAAAATAAAGTTAACAAACTTTAGCCAATTTTATTGGAGTCATAAATCTCCATTCGATGATATGTTCTGTTTTGATAGGTAATTTGAATTCTTTCATCACATATTACATCACATACCTTGTTATGATCACAGGTTTTCATACTGGTTTGGCTGCCGTGTGCATGTCGGATGTTACTTACCGTGCCATTAAGTACACCACATGCTAGACTACTTCAGATTTTTTTTTTTTTTTAAGTCGGCGCTGAAAGTGTCGTCAATGCCTACTTGTCACATTTTCTGTATTGCAAGATAATGAAACAAACACACACAAAAAAATCACAGGAGGAGGGAATGCTTTGCAATAATCTATATTCATTGACAATTGACAGTTTATACATCAAATTTACACAGGACATACATGTTAGAAGACATGAATTAACAGGGACTGGGTGAAGACCAGGGGGAAAAAAAAAATCCTCTCACTCGGTGTGCTTTCTGCTGTCGACTTGGTCAAATGGGATAACCTGTCCTCGTTTTGTGCACACCACAGTAGCGGTTTCTGCATGGTGAGATGTTTGCAAATAATTACGGACCTCTTTATGTGCGGTAGAGGAATTCCTTCCTTTTCGTCCGCTTTCGTAGTATCGGCCAAAAAGTTGTTCAAAACCCTGCTCAAACTTGGCTTCCCGCCCCCCGAGCCCCCCACTACTGATTTTTCCACACTTACCAAATCTGTGCATCTACAACTAAGACAATTCAAATCAATGAAAGTGACGGGCTCGTTTGAGTTGCTTCCTGTTTAAGTCGACAACACGTGATTAGCAACTGGTCGACATCAAACTCTAGATGTCATCGTGATCAAGTTGACACGTCGACTAGTCCAACTAGTACAACCCCAACATGACATTATCAAAGCAGTAAACACACACAAGATTGGTAATGTGTGTTCAAGGTCGAACACCAAAGATTTTTTTTTTTATTTTGTAGTCAGCTATAATGAGATGAAAGTCGGGTTGAAGTTGATTCATCAATGACATAATTGATATTTTTTTTAACTCATTCACTCCCAAAGACGTTTTTAAACGTCTTTTCAGACTTGGTCTAGAATTGGCTGATACTGACTGCAGCCAAGCAGTCCCCAACCTTTTTTTTTTGTACCAATGACAGGTTTCACGTAAAGACGTATTTCGATTTCAGCCATCTTGGATGCTCGACTGAACTGTGTCTTTGGAATAATGAAAAGCGTCGAAATGTTCTGGCGGGGAGGGGCTCGTATAGTCACAACAACAACCCTGTGGGTGAAGGGGTTTGGGGTCAGGCTTTGGGGAGCCTTTTTTTTTTTTTTTTTTTTTTGGACAACAAATTCAAGACAGAACATAAGCAAACCTGTTTGCGATCATGAAGCTATGAACAACTGCACACTTTAGGACAGGTGTGGGCAAAAGTTTGTGCCAGAAAATTTTAATTCATTTCTCCAATTAATTTAGCCATTCGGTCATGGTATGAAACTGAAAAAAATTAAACGTAGACGGTAACTGTGGCGTGCAAAGAGTGTGGGGGAGTTGAATGGGGGTTGATTCACTCCTCCAGTCAACATTTTTGGGGGGTGATCAGCCAATTCATTAAAAAAAAAGTAATGGATAAAACAACATGTATTTTGGTCCTGGACAGTTACAAAAATGAAAATATGAATTACAGACAAAATTTGTTACTGTTTTGCATTACTTTATCCTTTGGTATTTGTTTCACTGTCCATTTTAAATGGACAATTTTTTTGGTGATTTTTTTTTTTTTGGGAGAGGGTAGGTTTGAATGTCATTATCTTTGTCTTATTTTCTACTGTTAATATGCAAATAAATAAATAAATAAATAAATAGATAAAACTTTGCTGATTTTTTTGCTGATTTTTTTCCAATTTTAAAATAGCCACTATTACCTGTTAAATCGGGAGGCTGATGAATATGTGGGGCTCTGAAATGAATTTAAACGTAAATAAATTATGAATAAATCACTTTTAATGAACCACTTATGGAAGAAAATAGCCAATTTAATGTCACAAGAGTCTTGATCATTTCAATTCTCGGTGTACCAGATCCAAACGCTTTGCCCACTCCTGGTTTCGATGGACAATGAAAACAGATTACAAACACTCAAATTAGCCCTTAATTGGAAAAAAAAATGTCCAAGAAAGTGTGCTTAAAGGGCCTGAGAGAGCCCTCCCGGTGTGTCGCGTGTACAATCAAATCGGACGATGGTCTTGATATGTGTCACACGCCTCAAAGAGCCAATCTCGACCCTCCAAAAGGCCTCCACGCACACACAGAGAAGGCAGAGAAAACAAAACGCTTTTTGAAACCATCGACCAAGTCACGCAAATGTCCGTTATTCACTAGTTTCTTTTGAGGGGCAGGGGTGTATGTAATATAGCATTTTTTTTTTTTAATCTTTTTTTTTTGTCAAAGAAAAAAGAGCCACAGCACCAGAGGGACAAACAGGCATGAGGGAGTTGGAAAAACAGCAAGTTCAGATCGTCTCTTACAACTGTGCCCTTGCTGCGGAGGGTCCGTGAGAGTATGGCGAGGATGGAGTAAGGTTGGACTGGGTTGGAGGTTGGTGCAGGACCCCAAACAAGGAAGGGCAGGTCAGCCTTGCGTCTCTTTGCCGAGCTCTCGCTCCCGCTGGCCGCTCTTGCTCATCTTCATCTCCGTCAACTGGATGTAGCGCAGCACGTTGGTATCTGGAAGAGAAGGATGCCGGTGAGCGGCAGAACATTTTAATATCATTTCAAACGACTATAATGCACTTGACTTTGGAGTCAGCCAATCCACCATTAAGCGTCTCCAGTTGGTCCAGAATGCTGCTGCTCTCCTCTTGACTGGTACTCTTAAGAGGGAGTCCATAACTCCTACTAACTTCACTGGCTCCCAATACATTTTAGAGTTCTTTTTAAGATCCAATTATTTGTTTTCAAATCTTTCAATGGCCTCGCCCCACCTGAACTCTCTCAGCTCCTCCGCCCCTACACACCTGCCCGTTGCCTCAGGTCTGTGGATCAGACACTATTAAGGGTACCAAGCGGAAGCTCAGAGGGGATCGAGCCTTTTCCGTTGCTGGTCCCTCCCTTTGGAATGACCTCCCACTGAACGTTCACCAAGCCCCCTCGCTGTCCATCTTTAAAATTCATCTTAAAACTAATTTTTATTCTTTGTCTTTTGACTAAACATGAGACTTGATTTTTCGCGTTTGACTGTTTTTGTCCTTTGTATTGTCTTTGTTATTATTTATTGCTTGTTGTTGTTTGAATTATTTTTTTCTCCATGTACAGCACTTTGGATACACCGGTGGTTCTTTTAATGTGCTCCATAAATACAGCTAAGTTGAGTTGAGATTATTCTTGATTTGATGAAAAAAAAAAAAATGCACAGAGTGCACGTGTACAAGACTCTCCACAACTTCCACTAACAACCCAGGCTAAACTTAGTCTTGTCTGACTAATATCAGCTTTTAGTACTGATCTCATGTCACGCACGCTCACCTGCAGGCTCGCGATTCTTGGCATCTCTCAGGTAGCGTAGGGCACATTCGTAGTCGCCCAGGTGGTAGAAGGCAATGCCGGCGCGGTACATGGCCTTGAAATGGTCCCTCTGATGACTCAGGACCTTCAGACAATATTCCTTCACTCGCTCGTAGTTGACCAGCTCGGACTGCAACAGACATGCTGAAAACAGGAAGAGTGGGTGGAAAAAAAAGGCACAACTGTTAGCACAACAGCTATTTCATCCTGGAAGAGAACAGGTTGCACACTTGCAGTAAAAGGCTGGCTGATAAGGTCAAAATAATCCATTTGACTGGCATCTTTTTATAGAACCACGGCAAAACAGTGCACACTCAATCTTCAGGGCGGCAGTGAGGTGACTATAAATAGACAATAGTAATGTGTCACACACCAGAAAAGGCATAAAAAGTCCCATAAGCAGTTTTAGCCCCCGGGAAGGAGAGCAATACCCTCTGTGTTTTTACTACTGAGTTTAACATGAGGCCTTTGCACTGTACAAGTACTAACAGCTTTACAGGGAAAATAATGCTCACTTTCAGACTGGTACATATTGTATCATATCATACTGTATTATGTTTCATTACACCTTGACTATAAAGCATGTTTTTTGGTTGGGTGGTTGACCCGTAGTTAGCCCATCCCCCTCACAGGACAGAGGACATGGCCCTCCGGTGTAGAGTTTGCATGTTCTCCCCGTGCCTGCGTTTTCTCCAGGTACTCCGGTTTCCTCTCACATTCCAAAAAACATGCATGGCAGGTTAATGGGACACTCCAAATCATCCCTAGGTGTGACTGCGAGGGCGAATGGTTGTTCGTCTATGTGTGCCCCACGATTGGCTGGCAACCAGTTTGGGGTGTTCCCCGTCTATTGCTCGAAGACAGCTGGCAGCTGTGTGACAGCGATCCACAACCGGCACTAGGCCCCACAGAGCAAAAGACAAAAACAAAAACAAAATTGGGGGATCATGCATCTTTCAATTTCCAATGGAAGAGCATTCTGATTTGGTCACCATTCACTGTACCTGAAGTAACTTTTTCGACTTTTATTGTACTTTGCTACAATCCAAAGTCAGCAGCGGATGTTTTACCTCGAGGTCTTCGATCTAGCAAATGCAACAGCAATTCACTGAAGCTTTCACATCAGCTAATGCACGAAATAACTTCATTAGCTTTTTGTACACACACACACACACACACACACACACACACACACACACACACACACACACACACACACACACACACACACACACACACAGCTGTGTGACAGCGATCCACAACCGGCACTAGGCCCCACAGAGCAAAAGACAAAAACAAAAACAAAATTGGGGGATCATGCATCTTTCAATTTCCAATGGAAGAGCATTCTGATTTGGTCACCATTCACTGTACCTGAAGTAACTTTTTCGACTTTTATTGTACTTTGCTACAATCCAAAGTCAGCAGCGGATGTTTTACCTCGAGGTCTTCGATCTAGCAAATGCAACAGCAATTCACTGAAGCTTTCACATCAGCTAATGCACGAAATAACTTCATTAGCTTTTTGTACACACACACACACACACACACACACACACACACACACACACACACACACACACACACACACACACACACACACACACACACACACATACACACACACAGCTTTTAGTCCAGAGAAGGTTTTAAATGACTGCCGATGGCTCAGATATCTTATCACTCACACCCTGCTCCTCTGCTGATCGCAACCCATTGTGGTTTCTACTTTCAGCTTTCCCCTCGTTTATTGCTCGCCCTTCCATCTCCCCACCCATCGCTCTATGTCTTAATCTTTGTGAAATGTCAAAATAGCTCCCTTCCATTTGCACTCCTCGTCCTGGTGTGTCACAGCTCCTTTTTAAACCTCGTCTCATCCTGCCTCTCTCTTCTCTGTCTGCCCTTGACACACAGACAGCTCTGCGAACAACATGAGTCAGGGACTATTAGCTGGGAGGCAGGTTAAGTCAGGGAGTGAGGGAGTGAGAGACAGAAGGGGGGCATGCAATGGCGAGGGACAGGGCTGCAGTAAAGGGGGTGAGATGCCGGGGCCCTCAGGAGCAGGAGATGCGGTGACACTCACGGGAGTCTATGAGGTGAGTTAGGGTGAGGAGGAGCAGTGTGTTAAAAGCTGTTATTGCCTCCCTACCTGTCATCCCCCGTCAGTGTCAGAGAGTGTGTGTGTGTGTGTGTGTGTGTGTGTGTGTGTGTGTGTGTGTGTGTGGACAAAAAGCCAATGTAAGACAAGGTGAGCCAGGCCAAAGACCAAATGTTCGATCAAGTGAGGAGAAGTCATTATGGAGCCCAGTCAGGCTCTCAGTCATTTTTCCATTAGTTAAGGTGGGGGTCAGCAACCCGCGGCTCCAGAGCCCCATGCGGCTCTTTAGCACCACCCTAGTGGCTCCCTGGAGCTCTTTCAAAAATGTTTGAAAATGGAAAAAGACGGGAGAGGGAAATTTTTTGTTTTAATACGGTTTTTGTAGGAGGACAACCATGACAGCAACATTCTTAATGTTTTCCAATACTTTAAAAAAGTGGAGAGTAAATATTAGATTTCAACATTCTTGTCAATGAGGATTTGCGTTGCGTCATAGCCTGCGACACATGTTTCTAGAAGCCAGACAGGATGCCAGGCAGGTGGCTGTTGTTCAAAAAATGTTGTTTTATGTACAATTCACCGAGGGTACTGGCAAAGAATGTGAATCCGGAGGGCCGAGAGAAGCATTTTTAAACGGTGCATGTGAGCTATGATAGTTAACATGCTGCAAAAGGGCTTCCCATGCCTCGATCATCTTCGGGGCAAAAAAGAACATTTAATCATGAAGGCTCATTGTGTAATTGTAGCCAACTTAGTCTTTTTGATTGTAGGCTAATATAGCTAATATAGATACATACAGCATGTGTTGCCTTTACTGTAAGGCCGATATAAGGCTTTTATTTTTTTGCGGCTCAAGACATTTTTGTTTTTTGTTTTATTGGTCCAATATGGCTCTTTCAACATTTTAGGTTGCTGACGCCTGAGTTAAGGCTTTTATATAATTAAATAGAACGGAATTACTTGAAATACTTGAGAAGTGATTCTTCTGCATATCCCTATATTTCCCTATATCCCTATATTTTATATTATTTATATTATATCCCTATAATTTATGTGTGTGTGTGTGTGTGTGTATATATATATATATATATATATATATATATATATGTGTATAT